TTTGACCGAAGTCCTCGTAAAGAGAAGAAGTAGACGGGTAATCCTTGCGAGTGGAGAAGGTGTCCAACCGCGATTGCAACCGACGTTTTTCCGAATCCGGGCGAGCCCCAGATCGACACGATTCGGGTCGATATTGAAGTTACGTGACCAGTGATTTCTTCACACTCCCTCTGGCGGCCAGTGAAGTGTGGAACCATTGCAGGAAGACATGATTTTGGCAGTGATGGCTTCGTATCTGTTGAAAGACAGAATGAAACAATAATCATGAAAATTACGTTGTGATGAAAGACTTTTTTCACAGTTCTGCCAGTTAAACGTCCGCATAAAGGCTAACACTGACGGGAGCGCATCAAATACTACATATATTGATAAACTTTATTTATACTCGGATATATTGGATAGCAACATATGGCTAATATCTTCGAGGAAAATTAAAAGTATCAAGAAAAAAGTCAAAATAAAATACACGAATAAATTAATATCAATTTTTACTTCTTACATATAAATCGAATAACTAGTAACAAAAAACTGTAGTTGCGGATCAGCCGGTCGAAGTCATTGTAATAGGTAGCTGTTCCAGGGTTTATAGGAAAGATAAAAGAATGTAGTCCATGTGAAGTTGTAGATGGCTTCGGAAGAGTTAGAATGTTACTGCCTCTTAAGGAATACGTAAAGGAGGTTAAAGCAATCATTTCTTTCGTGTATGCAGGATAGTTCTTAAAATGAAGACATTTAAAAGGATAAGTAACATGTTTTGGAAGCGCCTACTTTCTATTGTTGTTGTGCCCGCTCTTCATTTGAGTAATTATTCGTAATCCGAATCCGTATCTTTGAAATTAATCTAAGAATCTATGGCAGGAGATGAAGGCTTTTTGTTCAAAAGTTAAGGTGGTTTTGAAGCCCGTCTAGTCAGAATTGTTTTATTTTTTGCCCAACCTCTGGGGAGTAAACGTAGAAAAGAGGCGGATTCTTTGTTTTCTCGAAGGGTCACTTGCCACCCTACCCCGACACAGAGTTCATTTGCTCCCTCACCCATCCGGCCTATAGGAAGTACGTTACACTTTTCTGTTTTGGTCTTTAAGTACGTCA